TTTCTGAGGCACTATCACTACAGAAGTAGATTGCCCAACCTTCCTTTTGAGGAGTGGGTGGTGGGTTTGAACTGCCAGCCTTCTGGTTAGCAGTCAAATGCCTTAGGCACTACACCACCAGAGCTCCTATGGCATTTGACTGCTAACCAGAAGGCTGGCGTTTCAAATCCACCAGCCACTCCTTGCAAGGAAAGTTGGGCAATCTACTTCCGTAGTGATACCACCTCGGAAACCCAAAGAGGGGTCAATATGAGTTGGATGTGACTTAATGGCAGTACAAACATGTTCTGCTCTGGAAATACTCTCATCGCTGATCAGTACAGAATCTTGGATGGTGCTGATAACAGATCTTTTTCTTTGAGTGGTCTTTTAGAAACTCTATGCTGAAGATCTTATTTCTGTAACAGGCAAGATCAATGCTATAGAATTGCTAATAAAACCCTTGCCTCTTGAGAATCCATGTATTCACCTTGTTTAGCATTTAGGTGTTCCCAGAACCCCTCAGCCACCATTTGTAGGTTTTTGCTTAGGATGGCAGATCTCTTTATTAAATGATAATTTTTAATAATCTCATTTGTAGAGGAAAGCTTATGTTTTATGTTTTGGTGATTCTGACTCCAAATATAGGGTAAAAGTAATATACAAAATCCTTAATCACTTTGGATAGATTCCCAATAGCAAAATAATAGTCGGCTGAAGATGGAAATTACTGTATGTTCTAAGTGTTTAAGAATGTGTTCGCACAGGTCATTTGATGTCTCTAGCTTGAGAGCTTTGTACAAACCATACTACCTACTTGCATTTACCAGCCTGTTCTGTGACTCCTCCTTGGGACTTGGATATCCCCAGTTCTTTGTTGCTGCTTCTCCCTATGCCTCAAACTGCTGCCACATGGAATCTTCAGGGAATATTTGCAGAGGTTATAAATTGGTGGCCTGTAGTTGGAATCTGACCCACAGATCTCTCTCTCTCTCTCTCTTTTTTTTTTGTCAGTATGACTTAATTGCCAACATTTTATAAAAAAAAATCAGGTTGATACTAAACTCTGAATGTCCAGCTTCTTTGCAAAAAAGCTGAAGGTCTCATTATGCAAGGCCTACATTCCTACAAGGCACTAACTTATTGTCATTCTCCTTCCAATTATCCTTAGTCTTTACCCTACACTTCTCCACATTTATATTACTGTGTGAACTGCAGGAGTGACTCTTTGTGCACTGGAAAAACAAACACAAAAATAAACCAAGCATAAGGAAAGGTGTGGCTTCTTGTAAACTCTTACTCTCCATTCCCTTCTCTGCCTAGTGTGGTGAACTCCTTCCTTGGATCCTGTTCCTCAACTCCTTTATCTTTAGGACCCTGTTTCTCTCAGTGTGTCACTGCTAAATTTATCCTCTGTGCTTTCACAAAGTGCGATGTGGTTGAGGAAAGCACATGGACCTTAGGGATATAAGACTTGGATTTGAATCCCAGCTCTGCTTCTTACTGAGTTCAATTTCCTCATCTATAAAATGAGGGCAATATCTTGCCTCATAGGTGTTAATGAGATGGGATTTTGTACATAAAGTAGGTATTTGATTATTCCTTCCTTATGTTGGGACTTGACCTGAATGAAGTCCATCTGAACTTCTACCTCTGCTTTCCTACCTTATAACTTCCAGTCTTTCCCATCTATATTTTTCACGTATCATTTATTTTCATAGGCAGTGCTCACTTCTAGAGAATCCAATCTGAGAATAATGGATAGAAGGTGGATTTATTTTGTTTTGGGAAGTTCTATGAGAAGGCATACCCTCTCAAATCCTACTGTACATCTGTGGTAGTCTAAACAGCCACATGGTACAATGACAGACACATAGACAAATGGAACAAAAATGAGAACCCAGAAGTAAATTCATCCACCTATGGATAGATAATCTTTGACAAATGGCTGAAACCCATTAAATGGGTAAGACAGAGACTCTTTAACAAATGTTGCTGGCAAATTGGTTATCCATTTGCAGAAAAATGAAACCTCACACCATATAAAAAACTCAAGATGGATCAAAGACCTAAATGTAAAGCCTAAAACTATAAAAATCATCAAAGAAAAAATAGGGGCATATATAGGGACCCTGATGTATGACATGAGTAGATTATCAAACATAGCTAAAAATACACAAACAGCAGAAGATAAACTAGACAACTGGGACTTCTTAAAAATTAAACATGTATGGCCATCCAAAGACTTTTCCAAAAGAGTAAAAAGAGCAATTACAGACTGGGGAAAAATTTTGGCAATGACGTATCTGACAAGGGACTAATCTTTAACATTTATAGAAAATTCAACTCCTCAACGACAAAAAGACAAACAATACAATTGAAAAATGGGCAGAAGACATGGGTAGACACTTCACCAAAGAACACGTTCAGGCAGCCAACAAACACATGAAGAAATGCTTGTGATCATTAGCCATTAGAGAGATGCAAGTCAAAATAACAGTGAGATATCTCATCCTAGCATTAATAGCAAAATTTAAAAAAACCAAAAACAAATAAACAAAAAACAGAAAACAACAAATGATAGCAAGGGTGTGGAGAGACTGGAACCTTCAGACTCTGCTCTTGGGATTGTAAAATAGTACCACCACAGTGGAAAATGGTATTGTGCTTACTTAAAAAGTTAGAAATAGAAATATCATACGATCAGCAATCCCACTACTAAATATATATCCTATAGAAATAAGAGCCATAATACAAACAGATAAATACATAGCCATATTCATCACAGCATTATTCACAATAGCAAGAAGGTAGAAATAACCTAAATGCCCATCAACAGAAGAGTAGATAAGCAAACCATAGTATATACACACAATGGAATACTATAGAACATTAAAGAATAATGCTGAATCTGTGAAACACCTTATAACATGGATGAACTTGGGAGACATTATACTAAGTGAAATAAGTCAATCACAAAAGGACAAATATTATATGAGACTACTGTTATAAAAAATCAAGAAAAAGTTTACACACAGAAAGAAATATTCTTTGATGGATACCAGGGTTGAGAAGGTGAGGGTGGGAAAGTCACTGACTACAGAGTAGACACATACTAACTTGAGTGAAGGGAAAGGCAGTAAGGGGAAGGTCAGCACAATATGACTCAAAGAAAATTGGGAGGTGCACAAGAGTTAAAGACAACAAAGGTAAATATTTCATACACAATCGTACAATAACAGTAATGACAATAATCTGAGTGTATAGATTGTTGTTGTTGTTATGTGCCGTCGAGTCAAACCCGACTCATAGCGACCCCTCCTTGGGTTTCCGAGGCAGTATCACTACGGAAGTAGGATTGCCCAACGTTCCTTCCGAGGAGTGGCTGGTGGGTTTGAACCGCCAGCCGTCTGGTTAGCAGGCAAGTGTCTTAGCCACTATGCTACCAGAGCTCCTGAGTGTATAGATAGATAGACATGTAAGCTGAACAGGTGTGGGAAGGCAAATGGTATTACACCATGAATATATAGGCTTGGTGGAGTATATTTATACATATGCATTTATATTTGCTCCAAATATATCCATGTATATAGTAGCACATACAGGGTGCAAAATTATGCATACTTCTCAGCCATAATCAAATACCTTGAGGTTATGAGTCACTGGGATTGGGGCCTTAAGAATATAGTCTTGGGGACCATCTAAGTCAATTGGCATAACATATTCCACAAAGACAATAGTCTACATCTGACATCCTACTTTGGTGAGTAGTGGCATAGTGGTTAAGGCATTTGGCTGCCAACCAAAAAGTTCATGGTTCAAACCTACCAGCCACTCCATAGGAGAAATATGAGGTAGACTTCTGTAAAGATTTACAGCCTTAGAAACCCTATGAGACAGTTCTGCTCTATCCTATAGGGTCACTATGAGTTGGAATCAACTTGATGGCAGTGCATTTGTTTTTTGGGTTTTGGTGAGTGGTGATTGGGATCATAAATGCTTGTGAGTGGCCATCTAAGATACAACTATTGGTCTCTCTCCATCAGGAGCAAAGAAAAGTGAAGACAATCAAAGATGCAAGGAAACAATTAGTCCAAAGGACTAATGGACCACACAAACCTCAGTCTCCAATACCCTGAGACCAGAAGAATTAGATGGTGCTTGGCTGCCACTACTGATCACTCTCACTGGGATCAAAATAGAAGGTCCTGGATAGAGTGGGAGAAAAATGTGGAACAGAACTCAAAATCAAAAAAGACCGGACTTACTGGTCATACAGAGACTAGTTGAACCCCTGAGACTGTGGCCCATAAACACCTTTCAAGTCTGTAACAAAACTTACCCCTGTGGCTCTGTTGTTGTTGTTATGTGCCGTCGAGTCGGCCCCGACTCATAGCGACCCTTCCTTGGGTTTCCGAGGACTCATAGCGACCCCTCCTTGGGTTTCCGAGGCAGTATCACTACGGAACTAGGATTGCCCAACCTTCCTTCCGAGGAGTGGCTGGTGGGTTGGAACTGCCAGCCTTCTGGTTAGCAGTCAAGTGCTTTAGCCACTATGCTACCAGAGCTCCTGTGGCTCTACTTTGAGCTAAATAATAGACAGGCCTATAAAGTGAACAATAACACCAGGGTGGAATGTGCTTCTACGATAATCAACCATATGAGACAAAAAGGGTAGCATTTTCCCAAAAAACAAAGCTCAGAAGGCAGAAAGGAACAGGACAGATGGATGAATGGGAATGGGGAACACAGGGAGAAAGCAGGAAGAGTGCTTTTGTTATGTTGTGGGGATTGCAATCAACATCATGAAGCAAAACATGTATAATTATTAAATGGAAGACTAACATGCTCTATAAACTTGCACTGGAACTACAATAAAAAGTTAAAAAAATGCGTGCCTTTTATCAAATTGCTACAATGATTTTAGATGACTTTTGTGATGGAAACTACATTAGCATTTATAGTAATCTGTTGCAATTCTTTAAGAATATATTCACTTCCCATTTATTGTATGTTTATAGAAATAGAACCGAGGTCAAAACCTGGAAAGTCATCAGCAGATAAAATTGGTACTGGAAGGGGGACACTTCGACTGAGATCAAAAGGTCCTGCTACTGTGGAAGAAGTGGTATGTTACAGTAAATTAACTCCCATTCTGCTTGGAAATGTATAGATATTCATGTTTATTAGAAGTAGAAATAAAGGTAAAATCACAAAGTTAAATAAAATGCCATACTTATATTCTAATTAAAGAATGAATTTTAATTCACTGCCTAATTAAACAATCTGAAAATTACTAAAAGCAGTTACGAAGGAAACAGAAACTAAGTGCATAGAGATTGTGACTTCTAACAATTCTCAGGTACCTGTAGGTAACTTTGTCTAGAGTCTATAGACATCTTGACTGGCTTAGAAACTTAGAAGAAGTCAACCCAAAACTTGTGAGAGCCAAGGAAAAGGCAGAAGTAAGCATGTTTCAGAAGATTTAGTTAATGAAAGATTATATTCATCAACTCTAATCTCCTCAGGCAGAACACTAGATAGTCATCTTTGACTCTTCTCTTTCATGTCCCACATACTTTCATCAGCAAATCCTGGTGGATGTACCCCCATGATCTAGAATCTTACACTTCTCATCACCTCCATCCACACCAGTCTGTCCCAAGGCACTGTCACTGGATATTTCAGTCACTTCCTGCTTGTTACTTCTGCCTTCATCTGGGCCCTCTTTCAGTCTGGACTCAGTACAGCAGTTAGAATGATACTTTGAAAATACAAGGGGGATTATATTGCTTCTCTGTTCATAATCCTCTGGTGGCTATTCATGTCACTCAGAATAAAAGCTAAAGTTCTCATAGTGACCAAAATGATCTGACTCCCCATTTTTTCCTCTCATCCCATTTCCTGTCACTCCCACTGACTCCCTGTGCTTCAGCCACATTGGCCTCCTTGCTATTCCCAATACTCCAAATGTTTCCCCAGCTCAGAATTTATGTATTTTCATTGCCTCTACCTGGATGCCTTGCCCTGTTTATATGCATGACCCTCTCTTTCTTCAGGTTTCTGCTCAAGTATCAGCATATCTAAAAGTCTTCTCTGAATATTCTGTATAAATAGCAATTCCTGTCATCCTGCCCACTACCCAATTTTCCTTGTCCTTACTTTTCCTCAAAGCACTAAACATCATATGATTAATTATTCTTTACTTGTTTACCTTTTGCCTATTGTCTAGCTCCTTTGCATATATGTTTTGTTCACTGCTGTATCTCTAGCACCTAGAATTCTTAGTACCTGGCACGTCAAAATTACTCAAATCTTTGCTGAATTAATAAATGGTTCATTTTAGCTTGAGAAAAGCAAGGATTGTACTGACTGATTATCTGTATCCATGGTCTTTTCAATTGCCTTATGTATGTGAAAGCTAGACAGTGAAAAATGAAGACAGAAGAATAATTGATGTGTTCCAACTGTGGTGTTGGCAAGGAATATTTATCATACCGTGGACTGCTAAAAGAGCAAACAAATCAATCTTAGAAGAGATACAACCATAGTGTTCCTGAGAAGTGAACATGGTGAGATTTTGACTGACTTTCTTTGAATATGTCACCAGGAAACGCTGCTAGCTAGAAAAGGACATTATGTTTGGTAAAGTAGAGGGCCAACAAAAACAAGGTAGATGCTTAATGAGATGGGTTGACACAATGGCCACAACAATGGACTCAAGCAGAGCAACAATCATGAAGATGAAGGACTGGGCAACATTTCATTTTGTTACACGTGGGGTTGCCTTGAGTTGAAGCTGATTCAGTGGCAATTAACAACCAAAATATAAATGTGTTTGGATGAAAAATACCAGAGGGAGAAGAGACAAAATGGAAGGGAAGTGGAAAAAGAGGCAAACAGGTGAGAGGTAGCAGTGCAGCAAATCTGTTCACAACATTAAAGACAACAGTGATAAAGTGAGTCTGTAAGAGGATCAGAGGTGAGGTAAGCATGAGAGGGTCAGGAGCTCCTGAGGGCAGAGGCCCAGGCATCAGGCACTTCTAGTCTCTGTGTTTGAATACTGGACTAGGATTTCCTATGTGTGTGAGGAGCAAAGGAGTGAGGCTGTTTTTTAGAGCTTTTTGGGTAATAATGCCAAGATTATTCATGGGAGCGGTTCTTTAGAGCAGAGACACTCAAGGAACCATGAGGCCAAGTCTGTCTTTGTGAATATTTGAGTCATCTAGGATGCTATATCCATTTTGGGGAATCCAGAGAAAGATTCTGAACCAGATGCCTTGATCCTGAGTGAGTGAAAAGATTGATCTGGAGGCAAATGGTATCTAAGAGGCCTGGTAGAGAAAAACCATTTTGGAAAATGAGGTATGATGAGGTGATGAGGTGTATGAACAAACCCAGGCAATGACTGCTGGTCATTTCAGGGCTCCAGAACACAGCACACTTCTTGGCATCTTCTGAAGGCCGTGAAAGTATATTGAATGAATGAACAAATCTCAGTGGAAGAAAGCAATTTATAAGAGAATGGAATAACAGTAAACGGGACTGGCAGTGGGAAGCTAGGAAAATACCAGCTCTGATTTCTGGTTGAGACTATGAGGAACTTTAAAACAACTTGCAGAGAAAGTAGAGTTGGCAGGAAGAACCCAAGTCTCACAGGAGGAAGGTCATCTTCTAATAATTAACACAACCCATAACTATTTGTTGAATGCCTGCTATGCATAGGTGCTGGAATGAAAAGAGCATAGCTTAAGATCTATCTGGGGAGGTAGGAAAAATTCATTCAAGGGTAAACATCTGAAATCAATTCCTATTTGCCTAGCTGCTTTCATTAAATAGGGCAATTAAAAATAGCTCACAATGAAAGGAATAAACGATTTTGATGCTAATATTAAATTTGATATAAATTACTTATCTTATTTCTAATACCAAAGGATTTGAAGGGTTTATAGCATTTGAAAAAAAAAAAAATCACTCCCCTATAACTTAGCACAAATTGTGAAAACTGAAAGATGCTTCACTTCCGTACCTTATAATTTATTCAGTATTTGTTGAGACAAACACAATCCAGGTAATGGTGATTCAAAATGCAATAGGCCTTTGTTTCTCTAAAGGTAGAGAAGCATGAAAAGAAACAACTGCACACCAGTGGGAAAAGGGTTAATGGAAGTGTGTACAAGATACATTGGTGTCACAAAGACTCCCCACCCTAAAAAAAAAAAAAAAAAAATGTCATCAAGTAGATCCCAAATCATAGTGATCCTATAGGACAGAGTAGAACTGTCCCATAGTGGGTTTGAAGATTGCAAGAAGAAAAATATAAAATCTGTTTGTTGCAAGATATGAAGTACACCTTCTACGGAAAGGGGAAAAAAAAAAA